TCCAGGCTCTCCAAACTGGTAACGCACCACCGCCCTAAGATCCATGGGGACCTTCCAGAGCTGTCTTGCTCAAGGACTGGAATCTTCAGCCAGGCTGCCCCCACCCTGTTTCCTCTCCTTGGACCCCCCTGCAGCCGCAGCTGACTGAGGCCCCGCTCTTGCCACTGAGCTCGAGCTAAGCCTCATATCCATTTTGACCCGCTTTTCAGAAACACGTTGCCAGAATGGAGTGGACCTAGTACTCAACAAAAACGCTGCCTCCTCTGAGGTCCACTCCTTATTTCATACATGAGAACAGGAAAAACTCGGGATGCCCTGTGGCCTGCACAAGGTCAACACATTTATCCAGTGGCAGCACCGGGACCACAACCAGGCCTCCCTCGCTCCTCATCCAGGGCTTCTCCCACTAACACTTGTTTCTGATACACAGACTACTTGCTCTTGAGCCTTTTAGAGCAGGAAATACAGCTTAGGGGAGGGTACTACACACTTCCGAGCAGTAAAAATATACAGCAGAGCCATGGCCGAGGGTCAGGGCTGTGGCAAGGGCGTGCAGGACATGAACTCCCAGGAAATGGGGCACCTAAAGCCAACCTGGAACTGGGGAAACTGGCATTCCTCGAAGCAAGGCACCCAATGGTCACGGTCAACTTCATACGTGTCTGACCAATGGCAAGTGTGCACCTGTGCTCTCCTAAGGACCGCCTGCGTCCAACAGCAAAAGAGCTGGTTTCCCTTCTCCCTGCCTGCTTATGGGCCTGCAGCAGCACGATCCTGTCCGTGCACTGAAAGGGCCTCCGAGGTCTTCTTTCCATTTCATTAGCTCATCCAGTGGGTTGTCAGAAGTGAATGGAAACAAAAATCTGTTATGCGTGTTATGGAAATTTATTTGAAGTCTGCCACTGCATCCTAAGTAAACAGACTTAAAAATTAGTGGCCCGGTCCTGGAGTGAGAGAGAGAAGGGAGGCGGAGGGAGGGTCCACAAGGCTAGCGGGGTGTTAGCAAGGGGGCCTGGCTGGTGGTGGCATCTGTGCTTGAGCATCTCTTCCCCAAAGGCTGGGATGTGCGGTCTGACCCCAGAATGGGCTGTCAGGGGTCGAGGGGAGGGGCCCTGGCATCCCTCCCAACCCCTCTGGTGACTCCAGCCCATCTGGTGGCCAATACATAGAGATGGGTAAGAAAGATGCGCCTGCAGGTGGGGTAGTGGGGGTGGGCCCGGGGAGCACCTGCTCAGAGGAAGGGCTGGAGGTAAGAGACGCGGGGCCCAAATGGGCAGCTGGCACAGAGCGCCGGAGGCAGAGGCTTCTCTCTGAATGCAACTGCACGGGGAGCGCTGAGGCCGACAGGCCCGACGAAGGCTGAAAGGGCAGAAGTGGAAGCCAAGATGACTGCAGCCGGTAGGAACTCTGAGTCGAAGGCAGGAAGCGAAAAGCACAGCAAGGTCCCCCAGAGTGTGGGCTGACACCTCCGGGGACCAGATGAAGGGTCAGCCCAGGGGTGAACAACGTCTTTAATTAGGAATCACGGACTCATTAAAATAACCCATCCAAGGGTGATGTTTAAATAAAGTAGCCTAATTTGAAGTTCGATGGGTAAATGGAATGTGTGTGTGTATGTGTGTGTGACATTAATAAAATAAAAAATGTATTTCAAACACATAGAGACCAAAACAGGGACACACAGACGCGAGGAGTGGACAGCTGGAGACACCTGTCAGCTAGCCACTGCTGCAGGGCCTCGGATAAGCCACACTCATCTGTTTGGACCCGACCTGGGCCCCCTTTAAACACAGGGCTTGTCCCTTTCTGGCACACGGCGAGGTTTCCGTTGTACAAGAACCGATGTACTCTCTGGTCCTTGGAACTGCTAACATCCTGAAATTGTCTCCAGCAGCTTAAATGGCATTTAAAATAAGTACTGTGAATTGATGAAATGACCAGTTATGTTAAGTACCCATGCCTGGTGTAATCTAAACCACATCTTACCCCATTATCCTCAAAACTGCTAGATGAGTCAGCAGGCCCTCTCGCCAGTGACTCTGCAAGAACCAAGTACAGAGACCACACTCAAGTAGGACCGAGTGCTTCCTTCCCGTTAGTTCTTGCAACTGGTTTTATGCTGGAAAAAAAAATAATAATAACTCCTATGTTTCTGCTCAACAGCTAATAAACCAAACAACTCCTCACCAACACACATGGGTTCCCATTACATTACCATTATGCCTATTCTATGGATTTCAGGGTCTAACTTCCGCCGTATCCTCTCTGGACAAAACAGTGCTCCGAAGCATATCCTGCCGAGAACAGGGGCTGTCGCCATCCCAGAGTGCCCACGAAGCATTCCTTCTTCACACCCACCATACAAGTCCCCCTCACTGTGCGCCCTATTGCCTACAGACTCTTGTTTCCCCTTCTCACAATGCCCTTTGCTCTCTTTCCACAAATCCACAAGGTATTTTTCAAGGCCTCATTCAAGGTCAGCGCTCCCCCTACACTCCCACCCTCCTGGCAATATTCAGCCTCCCTCCTCCAAATGGTGCGACACACCTGCTGCCTCGGCCGTGCCTGCCTTCTTTTAGTTTCAACTCCCAGGGACACTCCACACAGTGGGGTTCTCCCCGATCACTCCCGTATAGCCTGTTCTGCATGGGAGGGGGACCCACAGTTAGCCGGGCTTTGCCGGCCAGTCCCCGGGCCTCTATGTCACCTTCTACCACATTCTAGGAGGCAGGTTCTTCAGGGTATCCTGCTTGCCTTCAGTCCCAGTCCCTGAGGCTAGGACCTACTCACAGAGTTCTTTCCTAGTTAAATTACCTAGAACAAATGCCCTCCTGCTTGCCACAGGGGAAAAGAAGAAACGTGTGCATATTTTTAAAATGTAAAGTATAAAGACAAGAAAGTATAAATCAGGCACATTTTCTTCCACTTGAGTCTAACCTCAATTGTCTGTTGGCATGACTGGGCAGCTCCCATCTTTATACACCCATGTTTTCATTGTAAAACTTTTGTTCATGGGCGTTAGTGACTTCTTGATAAACCAGTACCACCCACCGTAGGGGCACAAAAATATTGGTTAGGGAGAACAGGCAGAGTCTGGAAAATCTCAGCACCATAAAAGTGTCTTGAGAACTCTATATACAGATATAGCAAATATACAGCAAAGAACTATTGCAGGAAAAAATGAACAAATCCTTGCCCACCCGCTCAAACTCCAAGAGTCTTCTGATTTTCACATACACCAAAAAAATTAAAATTAAAAAAAAAAATAGGAGAGCTGTACTTAAGTGGATGTGGATTAAATAAGCATCTGAAATTGGTAATAATGAGATCCTCAATGCTCAGAATAATTAGAATTTTAAACCCTATCAGGGAAAGAAAAAAAGGTCCACACCCATGAGATAGCATCTCAGAGTGAAATCACTCAACTTCAGAACCTTACTGATGTTTTCGTCATGCTTTCTTTCACCTGGCAGAAACAACCAGAAACTAATCCCAAGAGCAAATCTTACTTAATGTGAAACTTAATGAATAAAAATCCTGTAAGAAAATGTACTCGCTAAATAAAATCCCTCTTCTGAAAATAATCCAAACACGAATGATATTCATATCATTGTTATAGACGTACATGAAAAATAAATATGCACATAACTTTGAAATTCACTTGAAAACACTCCCAAAGGCTCATCGTAATTGGTTTCCGTTTATACCATCTGAAGGGAGAACAGATTTTTTTTAAATTATGTATTAATCTTTGAGAGTGGAGGGAGTTCTCTATTTTCCTTAAATATTTAGGCTATCTGTAACGGTCATTAAAATGAGGATTAGTGAGATCCACCTGCCTAAATTTCACCTGTACCAAGCAAACAGGCAAGGAAATCCTTCAGCTGCTGATTTCACAGGCTATTAAAAGGACAATGTGTGATCACGTGGCCTATAAAACAACTGAAATGTGATGCCATCTCTTTGAGCTACTCAGGAAAACCGAAGATAAATGCCCCTTTTCTCAGCCACATTTATATTCCATTCCTTCACACACCTGGCTGGCCCTCGGCATGAACTTTTCAGGAAAAGAGGTTTACCTGCTCTAAACCAACCCAAAGGCAGGCACCACTCCGGATTCGAAGCCTGGTGCAGTTCTAACCCTCTCGGTACCATGAGACCCAACTGCTTTTTCGCCACTCCGACACCCAGCCCATCAACGAGGCTAACGGGGACAGGAAACTGGAAACCTCAGGAGCCCACCAATTCCAGCTTCTCTGCACCACAGACCTCCAAAGCAGTGAAAATCCAGAAGTATCTAGAACGCATCTTACGGCTACTTTTAGCCATTTATTCTTTCACTTTATTCAGTCATTTCAAAAGAAACTTAAGAGCCAGAGCAGGGATGAAAGGCAGTTGGAATTCCTTGAGCACACTGGAGAGGACTGACAGCGAAGCAGCCAAGGGTGGGCCAGACAACAGGAAGAACGTCCCCCTGCCAAGGACGCCGGTGGGGACAGGAGAGGGGTGACTGAAGTCTGAGCCTGGGAGTAAGCCACAGCCAACCGTCCAGGCGCACGGGCCAACAAGGAGTAAGGGGACCTACCCCGTGCACCAAAATGCCGGCACAACCCCAAAATTCCTCATTTGCCCGAGAACTGGGAATACACAACTGGGGGGGGGGTTGTTTTCACCAGCTGCCCAGCTCAGCTCATGCTACTCTCAAATCCTAACTGCCACGTCATTCCAGTTTCACCAAAGCAAGCCAGGCTTCCGAAACAGGACCCGTGGGGGCAGACCAGAGAACCGGTCCCGGTCTCGGGCTAACAGTTCAGAGCAACCAGGAGACGTGAGTAGGAGGAAATAAAGAGAACTGGACAAAGAGCCGCAGCCCACAGCAGTCACACTTCTCCAGACAGTGTCCGCTGCTAAAGAGGACAGAGCTCCCCCGCTGCCAGCAGCCCAAGGGCACAGGTCCGGGGGGTGGGGGGGACGGGGAGGGGGCGCGCCTAGAGACCTACCTTGCAGAAGGGCTCCATTTCTCTTGAAGAAGGTGCTGCCCGGCCAGATGGGTGGACCTGATGTGCTGGAAGAGAAGAGAAACCGGGATAAGCGTGGGCTCGTGGACACTCGCTCCCCCAGCAGAGCTCTCAGAAGGCCTCAACACACTTTCCCAACGACACGTTATCTACCCCCCCCACCAAAAACACATCTTTAAAAACCACCAGGTTTGTTTTCAGTTGAATGGGCTTTGTGTTTCCCAGCGTGGAACCTGTCCGTGTGGGTGTTCTGCCCACTGTCCTGGGCCTTCTGCCTCCTGGGCGCTGAAATCATTTGCAGGTAAACGAAAGAGGACGTTCACATGGTTCACATCACAATGTAGCATTTAAGAACAGCTGCTAATCGACTCCTGTTTTACAAACTTATGTGGCAGAGAACTTCTAGCCACGGCTTCTGGGACCAAGTGCGTTTTCCGTCCCCTCCTAGTGACACCTGCCTGTGATGAACGCAAACCCACTTTTCTCGGCCTTTCTCCTCACCAGATCCTCCATATACAGAAATAGCTTGGATGGACTCCCTCCCTGCCCCTCTGTCTCGTTTGGTATCCTGTTTTCCATTTCTTTGCTTACTAAAATGTTGCCTCCAAACCCTATAGAACATTTCACAGACGTGGCTACTGCCCATGGTCCAGTAGTAGGAGACAGAGGCAAGGACACAAGGAAGGATCCACACACACAGACACTTTGCTTCAGTTACAGATGAACATTTCAAACTGCTTTGAGATGCCCAGTGAAGAACTTTATAACCAAGCCAGTCTCAGGAAAATATCCTGGGAGTGGGAAGTCGGTTCTTCTAAACCAAGGATTGGTTTAATTCATGCTAGACAGCACTAAGTCAAATAGGTTACTACAACCAACCCAGGAGGCAGTACAAGCTACCTTCGTTAAGACAGTCTGTGGCAGGATGCCTGGGTGGCTCAGTCGGTTGAGCCGCTGCCTTCAGCTCGGATCATGATCCCAGGGTCCTGGGATCAAGTCCTGCCATCGAGCTCCTTGCTCGGCGGGGAGCCTGCTTCTCTCTCTGCCTCTGCCTGCCACTCTGTCTGCTTGTATGCTCGCTTTCTCTCTCTCTCTCTCTCTCTCTCGCTCTCTCTCTGACAAATAAATAAATAAAATCTCTAAATGCCCAGGTATCAATAAAGTTTAAAAAAAAAAAAAAGACGATAGTCCGTGGCAAGAGACACAGTAGAAAAATAAAAAGCTGGTCTGACAGAGTTGTAAATCCAGTGGGCACGCACACACAGTACAGGAAATCAGAAGGGCTACGTAATGAACACTTCCCCAGTCAACCAGGGTTTCTGGTTGGACAGGACAGCAATCCATACTGTTAACAAGGAGAAACACCAGCGACACATTCTGCTGACCCAAATTTCGTTACCAGAGAGGTACAAACAACATAGCAGGTACAGGGACACATTCTGTGATGGGTGAGGAGCGGAGAGGGAGTGGAAAAAGAGCTCCAGTGCATAGAAATACTGTTCCCCGAAAATGCCGAATGTGCTAGAAAACACTATGAACCTTCACGTAAATGAACCTTTTTGTTTTATTCTGTTTGGGGCTGACTATACTCAGGCTAATCGAGAGGAATGCATCAGAGCCACAGCTTTTCCTGCAGTCCTCCGGGCTCAGGCAGGTGTGGCCTCTGAGCGGCCAGGCTGCATAGGGACACCAGATGTGGCTGGGGTCTCAGGGCTGCAGGGCGACAGCAAGCTGATTTCTCTCCTATCTGATTCCAGTCCTATTCCATGGAGGCTTTTAAGGCTCAAAGATGCAGGAAAAATAATGTGCATCAAAATGCTCAAGATTAAACAACTCTAGCCAACTCCCTGGGATTTTTACCGTCTTATTTTTATAAGAAAGCAGGAAACAGCAAGCTGGCTGTTGCCAATCCCGAGTCACCTGATTTCTAAAGATATTTAAAAACTGAGGACTTCATTATAGAGGAGTTGGTGCTTCGAGAGAATTCAATAATTGAGTATTACTGCAGGAGCCTGAATATCCAGCTTACTTCCATCCAAATCTCCTCTTTATCCTGACCTTGATTTGGCTGAACACTGAGGCGATGCCAGGCATGGAGTAAATGTGGGGAACTGAGGTCAGGTAAATCCAGTGGTTTAAGATAAGGAAAATTCTCTGCATGATAGAAATCTACTCGGTGATTTCTACAACATCCTTTTAATGTACCTAAGTCACTGATCACTATTCTAGTCGTTCTGCCACACTGCCCCCACATAATGGCTACTCCAGTCGTGGAGAGAGATTTGGACGGGCCCACCCGCAAGCTCTTACCCGGCCCTCACCGTCAATGATGAATTCACCTCCGGTCTCTTTCTAGCTCAGTTAAGCTGGTTCCCATCATGCTAATTACAAAGCTTTGGAGCTCCCTAGCCAGACAGTCTACATGCCTCTTTTGGATGGTCCCTCAACACAGCTAACTGTCAGGGGACTCAAGGATTCATTAAGTACCTATTAGGAACTGTCTTTGGGGTGGAGAAGGACACAGGGGAAAAATGATTTTTACGGCCTCTAGGAACTTACCTAGCTCCGACCTCCTGTGACCATGTCTTAAGTGACATATATGACTATGGAAAGACCAATGGATACGACCCTAGTGGCTGCAAGCTGGGGAGGCAGCAAACGGATTTTTTTTCCCCTCTCCATCTGGTGATGCTCAAAGCTCACTGCCTTTAAGGCTCAAAGTTGGTTTTTAAAAATTTAATGAAATCACCTGAAAGAGTTTATTAACCCTAGGAATTCAGAGAAGCAGCTAACTGAGGTCTTCATAGGAATTGCTTAAGGACCCCGGAAACCACTAGTTTACGAGGCAAATCAAGAGGAGGGGAGTATGGATGTGACACATGCAAGGGGGAGAGGGGCCAGGGGCTCTCTACACTCAGTCACTTGAGCACTGGTGACTTGTAGATGGCCACTGCCATGAGAAGTGGCCACTAGGGCCCCCTTACACCTACTGGAGTGGGTTTGAATCACCTTACAATGGTGCTCACAGGGTAGGATGCTGGGATAGCAAATTACCATTCACAAAGTACAGCAATCAGTGTTTTTCCAATGGGATTCCCCAGGCTGCGGGTGGGCAGGGCAGAAAGAGGCGCTAAGGAGCCGGAGGCCCTGAGAGGTGCCGGGACGTGCCCAGGCATCACAAGGCTGGTCAGTGAAGAGCCCAAGACCAGAATGGGTCTTCCAGCGCCAGCCACTGTCTAGCCACACACACGGCATTCTGGCACTAAACTCACGTCTATCCTCCATGGAAGAAGGCTGTGGATGGTATGTCACTAAGAATCTCAAGGCCAATGGCTAAAATCACAACACAGGAAAGAACAGATGTTGGCAAGGATGTGGAGAAAGGGGAACCCTCTTGCACTGTTGGTGGGAATGCAAGCTGGTGCAGGCACTCTGGAAAAACAGTATGGAGGTTCCTCAAAAAGTTAAAAAGAACTATGGTCCAGCAATTGCACTACCAGGTATCTACCCAAAAGATACAAAAATACTGACTTGAAGGGACACATGCACTCCGATATTTACAGCAGCATTATCAACAACAGCTAAATTATGGAAACGGCCCAAATGTCCATCAACCGATGAACAGATGAAGAAGATGTAGGGGGTGTGTGTGTGTGTGTGTGTGTGTGTGTGTGTGTATAGATAATAGATAGATAAACACAAAGGAATATTTCTCAGCCATAAAAAAGAATGAAATCTTGTCATGTGCAACGACGTGGATGGAACGACTGCATTATGCTAAGAGAAATCAGTCAGTCGGAGAAAGACAAATATCAAATGAATTCACTCCTATGTGGAATTTAAGAAACAAAACAGATGAATGTTAAGGGGGGAAAAGACAGTGAGAGGCAAACTGTAAAACAGACTCTTAACTATAGAGAGCACACCGAAGGTTGCGGGAGGGGAGGTGGGCAGGGGGAGGGGCTCGATGGGGGATGGGCATTAAGGAGGGCTCTTGCTGGGATGAGCACGGGGTGTTATACGTGAGACTCACTAAACCAGTATTATACTATATGTTAACTAACTAGAATTTAAATAAAAACTTGAAATAAACAAACAAAAAGAATCTCAAGGCAAAATCCCAGGCTACAAAAAGCAATGAGGCTCACCATTGGTGTAGTACAGACAGGTGGGCTATCGTTGGCAGAAACACAATGCGGGTGCCACAAATGTCTCATTTCAGTAACGCTCTAACAGAAGGCCATGACCTTCACCCTATATGCCAAACCCACTTGTAACAAAGGCAGCCAACCAAAGGTTAAGAGGGCTCTGCCTGCCAGAAAAGCAGTTTGTGAACTGGCATTTGAGCACACTGATCCAGGCTGATTGTTAAGACCAGAGCTAAGCCTGCAAAAATCCCAAGAGAAGAATGATACCATTTTAACAGCATCCCCAGCGTCTGCTGGGTCTCAGCCCTCAGCCACTTCTTGGGCTGTACCCTCAAAGCTGCATGACTTCCAACTCCCGACGGGACACCATGCGCCAACAGGTCGTACAGCCCTAAGGTGGCTCTTGGCACAATGATGCATTTGATTGTGGGACACTCCTCCACTCGTGAGCTTTCATCATTGTGAGAACCAGGCAGACTGTAACCAAGACCCTGGGGGGTTCTGCCAAGACCCATACACTGGCCTGGACTTTCTATGAATCTAATGAAAAGCAAATTAAGAAAAGAACTTTTTCCTAAGAACTCAGCTACCAAACATGAACGGGTGTACCTAAAAAAAGAGTACAGAGCACTCCAACACAAGTCAACCTTCATGACACTATACTAAGTGAAATGAGCCAGACACAAAGAGACAAATATGGGACTATACTCGAGTGGTCAAATTCATAAAGAGAGAAAGAAGAATGGAGGCTGCCAGGGGCTGAGGGGCAGGGAGCGGAAAGAGCTGTTTAATGGGTACCGCCGTTTGGTTAGATGAAGAGAGTTCTAGACTGCTTACACAATAGTGTGAATGCACTTAGTGAACTCTACTGGACTGTGCATCTAAGAAAACTATTTAAG